TATACTTCAATAGAATGGAATGAGGTATTTTGGGTTGACAGAGGGGAGTGAAGGGAGGAGGGGGCGCGGGGTAGGAAGGATGAATCGGGCATTATTACCTGTGTGCTACGTGGCTGTAAGACCAGTGGGCTCTACATCAAGTACCACCAGAAGAATGAGAGTCACACTCCATTTACATATGATGGGTCAAAATGCATTCTACCTGCATGGACCCAAGTCAGCCCAATCATGTGTAACTAATTAGAATGAATGAAAAAATAGTGGAAATGGTAAATTTTGTGTTGTATTTTACCACAATAATTTTTTTTTCATTAAAAAAAAAAACAGAAAATAAAAGACTCTGAGTGTGACTCAGAGCCCAAGGAACATGCTTCAGGGCCTGGCACAGGGATAGGGACAGGCCATCCTCCCACCTCCACCAGGTGCCCACCAAGCCACTGTCACCAACTGGCCCTGCTCTTATAGGATCACTTCCCAGGGTCCATTTTTAATGCCTCTTGTCCCTGCACCCACACTGGACCTGTCACACTGACGTTCCCAAAGCAGGCGGAATTGTGCACGTGAGTCTCCAGGTGTGGCCTACCCCTGCCCCCTTAGGCCCGAGCCCCTGACACCAGCTGGTCCTCAGAGACCTGCCTCCGTCTGATGTTCTAATGACCACCAGTGAGGTCCCGGCTTTGCAAAGCTCCACACCACTTGTGCAAACTGACAGGGACAGATGATTCCCATCCAGTAGAGAAAACAACCTCAAAGGCAAGGGCTTTATTGTCCTCCATGATATCAGCCAACTTGGTATCTCATTTAGTCTTCGAGATTCCACGGCCGCGTTTCTCACACCCTCCTGGAACCCCCTTCTCAAAGATTCTCTCATTGCACTAGTTTATATGTGGATCGTTGCTCGTTATTATATTGCATGAGAATTGTGTTTCCAATATTTTGAGAATTTTGAACCTAGATGTGTCCCACACGCTTGTCACCTCCGGGCACTGCTTGTCACCTGCACTGTCCCCCTACTCATTCTCCTGGCTTTCTTCCCCTCTACCCTCTTCCACCTGCACCTCTTCCTCCTCCTCTTCCTCCCTTCTCTCTCTCTCTCCCTCTCTCCCTCTCCCCCTCCCCCTCCTCTCTCTCTTCTCTCTCTCCCTTTCTCTCTCCCCACCCCCTTGCCCTTCCTCTCATCCTTCTTCCTCCATTTGCCACCTCTACACCTGCTCATGTTCCAGGGGACCCCAGGCACTACACCAGTCTCAGGGTCGCTGTTGGAGGGGCATAGCCTTGGGCTGTCTGCACTTAACCCCTGCTGGCACCCAGGCAGTGAAGTCAGGTCCCATCCACAGCAAACCCTCCTGCCCCGTGGTGGTTACCAAACACGGTTTAACACCTCCAATGGCATCCCCGCCCTGAGGTTTCTTCATGCAGGATTCCTCCTAGAACAAGAGGCTGTCTCTGCCTTGTGGTGACAGGACCCATCCTGGTGATTTTCTTTCAATAGGAGTAGGGAGGTGTGATTCCAGGTCATGAGCGTGCACATCTCTAAAACAGATATGGTTTCTAGAAGACCACTGCTCCAAACCGAGCCTCCTTGACTTAATAAAATGAAAGACCTTCTTCTCCAGCTAACCTGCTGTGATATTTTTACAATGATCATTGCTGTTATTTTTAACAGCTTTAAACGTTCATTCATTTGTACCTGACATCTTTAGTAATTAATTGTGTTTTTATTAATTTTATTGGATTTTCCAGTTATAATATTGAGTCTTTGGCAAATAATGATAATTTTCCCATAAATTTCATAATTATGTTTTCTCGCTTATCACAGCGACTGTAATACGTGGTCTTGGTCAGTGGTTTCATTTGTTTTTTTGTATTTCTGGGGAATTGAACCCCGGAGTGCTCTACCATTGAGCCACAGCCACAGCCATTTTTATTTTTTAGGTTGAGGCAGGGGCTTGCTAAGTGGCCCAGGCTGGTCTTGAACTTGCCGTCCTCCTGCCCGGGCCTCCTGAGCTGCTGGGATGATAGGCGGGTGCCACCGCATCAGCGACATGTGTTCTTTGTTATGATTGCATGTGTCAAGCTTTTGAGCAACTTTAGAAAAAAAAAAAAAAAATATTGGCAAGCAAAGAGGCTAGTGACCGAGCAGGTAGCCAAAAGAAACCGTGTACTCGTAGTTGAAGGGTGGGCTGAGGGGACGGAGCCTGGGCTGGTGGCAGGACGGCCAAGGAAGAACTTCAGGAAAGAAATTCCAAGCCAGGGATCAGCAACTAGGGCAGCAAAGTGGACGCCATTCCAGGCCCGCAGCCCAGTGGTCCCCCCGGGCGGCAGGGACGGCGGGCATCAGGGTGGGCTTCTGGTACCACGGCAATAGGTGTAGGGATGGACACTTCATCCAGACCTGAGCCAAACAGGCCTGGAGTCCCCACCCGCATGGACCCAAGGCAGCCCAGTCAGAAATGCAGCTGAGGATAGAGACAGACAGGCTTCTGTCAGGAGTCACAGACTCGGGATGGATGAGGTTGCTCCTGCCTCCCCGCCTTCAGCTCCCTGGAGCTGCACACCCAGGGACCGGCCAAGGCTGTTGGCATGTGCACCTTCTACTCGTTTTATACCAAGTCCCCACTGATACATCGGGAAATTGACCATATTTTTAACAGATCTGATCATCCGTTGGCAATGCACTCATTTGAGAAGAGGTGTGAGGGAGAAAAGTAATTAGAATTCTCAGTTTACAAACATTTCCTCCAATGTGAATTCATGGGAGAAATTAGCAGATCTTCTAATTGTCTGCTACATCTCACACTTCATCTACCTGCTCCCTAAATATATTAATTAACATTTCTACAAACACTCTTCAGGTTCACCGTGCAACACCACACATCTCAGTTGGTGGGGCGGGTGGTTGTGGAAAGGCCTCATTTTCTGTGGCATGGTACAATTTGTGAGGCTCTTTCTCTTACTTTATTTCGTGTGATATTCATGTCTGGCCCTGCAGGCTCTAAACTCCAGAAAAACTATACTTGTAGTTTTTTGTGGTTGCACTTGTAGTTTCCTTGACCCAGAGAACTGCTTCCCAATTTCTCCCTTCACTGGTGTTCCTCAGACATGATTGCCTTTCCCTAGCTGGGAAGCCAGATGAACTCCTATTCATACTTAAAAACCCATTCCAGCATGTCCCTTTCCCCAGGTAGGTGTGGTCATGTATTTTGGTCCTGCAGAGAGATGCTGCCGGGGCCAGATGTGTCAACACCAGTCAGCTGGCTACAGCGGGGGCTCTGGTCAACTGTTTAGTGGCTTGGAACTAACTCCGTCCATCAGCAAAGGAAAAACACCAGCCAATCTGCCAGATGAGGTGGCCTGCGCCCAGGCCATAAGAACCCACTTCTAGCTTGACCCATCTTCTCTCCTTGCTAAACACAGGGAGAAGGATCAGAGCCAATCTGAGCTTTGGGCTTTTTGCTATTGGCTCTCAGGCCAACCCAGGCTTTAGGCCTTCAAACAGAGAAACTTGCAGATAAGCTCAGAAGGTCCTCAACGTGGCCTCACAGACAGCCTCACCTAGATCTTCTTCCTACAGGGCTCGGAGGGCCCTTGGATGGGAATGGCCCAGACACAGATTTGCATCAGGAAGCCCCTTCCTTCCATGTCTCCACAGAGAAACACCCTCCAGGCCCCCAAGACTGGGCCTGTCACCCACTGTCAGCTCCTTGCTGGGGGTCACCCTCCAGCCTGCAGGACCCTGGGTCCTGACGGTGGCCACCAGCCGAGGCCTGAAGGGGGTGGGGAACTGGGCCTCCCCCCATCTTATGGGGGTTCTGGTAACAGAGGGGTCTTCTCCATAGAATGGGGCCCAGGGGGCATAGAGGGTGGGGAGAGGGCTGTCCCAGTGGGGGACAGAGTGGATGAGTGGAGGGAGGGGAGGGGAAGGAAACAGATGGGGTGACCTGAGCCCTTTGCCCCAAAATGGAGCCTGTTTCCCTGGGGGCGACATGGGAGGCTGCGATCCCATGTCCCTCCTGCATTTACAGGGTCCGGTCATTCTGAGACCTGCTCCCTGTGTCCTTGGCACAGCCGTGACTTTGGAGGGGGCCTGCTGGTGTCACCACAACGGAGCCCTCAGGTTTCCCAGCTGCTCCTCCTCCAGGTCTCCTGCTCAGGGAAGGCCCGTCACCGTCCCTCGCCTCCCGCAGCAGCCACAGGTATGTCTTCAGCGCAGCTGGACCAAGGCCACCACATCTGGTGGGCCCTTCCTTCCCCTCCCACCAGCCTCCAGAATCAGTCTCCTGGGATCCCACCTGCCTCTCTGGAACCTTCCATGAGTCCCCAGGGCCCCCAAGGTGAAGTCCAGGCTCCTGTCACACCCTCCCCAAGGCATTTCTGTCAAGGCTCTGCCCCACCCGAGTCCACGCCTGCACACAGCTGGCTTTCTGGCCAGATGCAGCCACATGCCCCTCACCTCCATCCGACCCACCTCCCTCCTGGCGCTGGGCCCTGGAGGATGCACTTAGCAGAGCTGGGGGGGCGGGCACCCAGGAGCCCTCCTCGGGTCTCCTCAGGCACCTCCACCTGTTCCTCCCCGAGCACCTCCGCCCTGGGGCCCAGGAGAGCAGGGCGCCTGTATCCCTGCCTGCCCAGGTGAAGCCGGTCCTTCAGGCGTCAGGGACCGCGGAGCACCTGCTGCGCTCCTGGCACTGTCTGCCTGGGGCATAGCTGTCACTGAGGGGGCGTCACCTGCGTGTGCCAGGGGCTCACTGCCCCAGCAAGGGAGATCTGGCCTTTGCAGAGGCCGCGGCTCCTTTCACAGACGCTTCTCCAGACCCCAGTGTCCAGGACTCCCGGGCTCCAAGGCAGCCACCCTGCGCTCTCACCCCCAACCATCGCCCACCGTGGGAAGGGCCGGGGAAGGGGCACCCGGCTCCTGGGCAGGGGCAAGGTCAGGCCAGGGAGCTGAGGGCGGCGCGTCGGCATGTGCCCGCCCAACCTGGGTGCCCCCTCGCCTGCGCCCGGGCTCCTGGCACCGCGCGCTCCTGGCGTTTAATTTTGCTGAACGCCGAGGCCCGACCCCGTGTTAATTGTTTTACACCAGCCTCCTCTGCCTCCCATTAAATGAGGAAATGCCACCCATAAAATTTTAATTTTAAAAGCCGACTTGTTTGTTTTATATTGAAATTCCCAGGGCAGCTCCAGCAGGGGAACAGACACATCTTCGTTTCATTAAAGCAACTTGAGCGAGGATAAAAAAGAAGCTGAAAAATTAGATTTAAAAACAGAGAGCGAGAAGTTAAAAAAAAAAAGAGCGAGAAGCATTTAAAGAAAATGAGTGAGGGCTGGGGATGTGGCTCAAGCGGTAGCGCACTCGCCTGGCATGCGTGCGGCCCGGGTTCGATCCTCAGCACCACATACAAAACGAAGATGTTGTATCCGCCGATAACTAAAAAATAAATATTAAAAAAAAAAAAAAAAAAAAAAGAAAATGAGTGAAAGTGACAGGACACGGCCACAGCCCCATCTCCGCCCTCCTGAGCCCCCGCAGAGATGCAGAGCAGGAAGTCCAGGGACACTCTGCGGGGTCCCCAGACGACTCTTCCCCCACTGAAAACCGGCCCCCTGCAGAGCCTGGGGGAGCAGGGCCGAGGCACCCCTGTACCAGGCGCACCCTCCTTCCCCAGGCCGCCCACCATGGTCAAACTCGCTGGCTGGGAAGCTGGGCCACCTGGGCGGGCCTGGCTCGGCCACTTGCTGTGTCATGGGGGACAGAGTTCACTCTTCTGTAAAAAGGGAATCATAGTCGAATTTAGCGAACAGGTTGTTGAGAGGATCAAATAGGTTAATACCTTGAAAACAAAACAGAGCCTGGTATACAGTTGGTGCTAAACAACTAGCTCTGACCAGTCCCATCCGGCAGGTTCCCAGCACATTCCTCCTGCCACACACCTCTCCCTCCTCCTCTTGGCGATGTGTCCCTCTCCCCCTTGGTTATTCAAAGTTCCTGCTAATGGGGTCCCCACACTGAAAAGAGGCTGGGAGGAGAGCTGGGGCACGTCTCGGGGAGCCCATTCCCAGGCACGATTCCTGTGGCTCAGAGCAAATCATTACAGTTTTGTGATCATCCTTTGGAGGGAGGTGAACCCCTGGGAGTCGAAGCCCAGCTCCAACACTTAGCCGCAGCGTATTCTTGAGCAAGTTTCTTCTGGACCTCAGTCTCTCCATCAATAACAGGGGGACCATACGTCCAGCAGCCACATGTTGTCATGAAGATAGAAAAAACGAGCCCTGGGGAGCGCAGGGCGCAGATACAGGCCCAGTGGTGGCTCTTGCATCAGCAGGAGCTACAGCAGCCTGGAGGGTGTCTGGAGGTCTGCAGCCGATGGGGGCGGGGCTACTGCACTTGGCCTGCTCTTAAAGGTATCCTCACCTGCCAATCAACCCCTGGACACGTTCTCCTGGTCAGTCCCTTAAGCCTGCCCGAAAACTGACTTCTAACCCCAGCCCCAACCTGCCCCGGGCTGTGGCTGGGAAACTTCTTACCTCGATTAGCATTATAAAGAGGCAGACAGGGTGGGGAGAGCCTGAGGGGGATGGGGGGCGGGTAGGGATTTAGAGTCTTTCCGGTTTCCAGGCGTCCGCTGAGGGCAATTTACATAACCTGTGATCCTTAACTTCCTCCTCTCCACAGAGGGAATTAAGTAATAGTACATTTTCTTAGCAGAGGCTGCAAAGATGAACTCACAGCAAGTGACAATGGGAACGTGCTTTGTAAACTATAGTGTGCCGTGCACCGTCTGAAGAGTAGCGCCAGAGGCCAGAGGCATCCTACCAGTCACCAAAGCAGAACCTCAGGTCCTGTTCCTGGAAGTCACCTTTGAGGGGACAGAGCTGGGGCACTGAGGGTCACCAATGGGCATGGATAGGGTGGGGGTGTCAGGGGAGGAAGCTTGTGTTCCGGTCCCCCGCAGGTGGAAGTCCTCAGCTCACAGCCTGTATCCTGCAGACCCTGACCCCCTGACACCCCAGCACCCGCTCAGGGCCCTGGCCCTTCTTGGAGACCTCTCCTCCAGGCAGGCCGCTGCCTTCAAGCTCCACGCTGGTGCTGCCACGCGCCACTCAACTATTGCAGGCAGAATTCTTTTCCAGAGGTTCCCAAATTGTACACCAAGGAACCCCTAGGACTTATTGACAGATGTCAATTCAGAGAGGACCAAGTGGATGGGACTCCAGGCACACACCGGCCTCCTCCTCCTCTTCTGCCCTCCCTCGCCCCTCCCCTCTCCCTTCCACCAGTCGCTCTATTTTATATATTCTCTGCAAAATTTTCCTAGTACAAAAATCTCCAGTTAAAATATTTTATTCAAAACCATGGCTCTGCTTCCCCCGAACTTCTTCTGAACACTCTAGTCCTAAAGCCAGCCGGTGCCGCCAAGGAAATGTCTTCATGGGGGTGGGGGGCACGGGGAATGGAAGACCCAGGCAGGTGGCGTGGGAGGGTGAGGAGGGGGCCCAGGTAGGCAGGTGGCCTGTGGGGGGGGGTGTCAGCATACAGTGGGGCGAAGGGCACCCACACGTGGGGTCACCTAGTGTGGGCATCAGAGCCCCGTCAGAGGGAGCGAGGAGGCCAGGTGTGGGGGTGCTGCGTGGGAACCCAGGCACGGGAGCCTCCTGCCCGGTGACGAGGGTCCATCTAAAGGGGGGAGACTGCAGAGAATGAGAGGCGGCCCGTCCAGGTCACCCGTCAGTCCAGCCCCTCCTCTGCCTGCACCTTCTAAAGCCAAGCAGAGCTGACCCAAGGGAGACCCCGGCCCCTGCCCAAGTCAGTCCAAGTCCTCCAGCGTTCCCTGAGCACCAGGGATGTGCTGGCAAGGTGCTGTCATTGCTGGGGACACAGCCAGGATGGGGCAAGGGCCTGCATGGACAGCACAGCTGGGCTGCCATGATGGAAGGGAGCAAGAGGGCCCACAGGAGCCCACGGAGGGGAGCCCACGGAGGGGAGCCAGGAGCTAAGCAGAGGAGCAGGCTGAGTCCCCCAGGCAGGGCAGCATGGGTGGCAATGGCCCCTGGCCTTCCTCACCTGCAGACTCCTCCCACCCCAAAGGCCAAGAACCTCACCAGAGGCCTTCCAGTGCCAGGACCCCCAGGGCTACCATCTAGCTACTCCCACCTCCTGACAGTCAACTTCAGGGGGACATCTCACCTCTTCTCCCACACCCCACTTCCCCTGGGACTCTCCAAATGGGAAGGTCCCTTTTCTGTTCGCCTTTCTGAGGCCAGATGTCAGATGTTCCTCATAATTGGGAAGTTCTGCCTCGTGTTTCACTCAAAACCCTCTTGCTTTCTCTTTTCCTATGAGAAAGGCCTTTCACCAATGTTGATGGAGGGAAGATGGGGTGGGGGGCAGGGTAGGGGCTGAAGCCCACTCCAGGGGTGGGGGTTGGGGGTCATAGAAACCTGCCCAGCCCCAAGCTCTCCATCCTCATTTTTTCCCTCCACAAAGCCCTAACCTACATCCTTTCCTTCCCCCCTCCACCAAGGCCTTCCCACACCCAGGTAAGACACACACACACACACACACACACACACCACCCGCACAGTCCCCAAGCCTACTCCCCACAGGGCCACTTGACATAGAAATCCTGCCTAGGGCGTATTCCAGGTGGTCCGGTCCATTTGGGCCTCAAGATGGCCCAGCCCAACAAAAATAAAATACCTGCCTGGACTCCACACAAGTCTATGTTGTAAGGTGGAGGAGAGAACAAGCTACCTTCAGCTGTTCTGCACTCTCAAGGAAACCCTCCACCACCACCCCTCCCCAGAGTTGGAGGTTAGACCCCAGGAAGGACTTCCTTTTGTTCAGGGTACTCCCTGCAGTCACCAGGAGGGAGCGCCACAGGCCAGTCCTAGGACGGTTATCTGAAACGGTGTCTGTCACACAGGGGACAGTCCCAAGGTATAGTGAGGGTCGGACGGGTCCTGAGGACCCCGAGTTCAGAACATCGGGAGAGCTGTTGGCGGGTCCAGGCCACTTGGTGGGAGGGGACCCATCCCTAGCAGCCGGACGCGGGAAAGGGAGTGGCCAGTCCTCTGCCGAGTCATCGCCTGCGAAGACTCGCGTCACCTCTGATGTCAAGGCCCCAGGGGCTTCGCTCCAGCTCCGGGCTCCAGGAAAGGGCGTCGCGGGGCCCCGGGTTACACAACTTCCCCGAGGTGGCGGGCGGCCAGCTGACTGGCAGGGCAGGGATTGGCCCCGGGGCCGCCCCACCGCGCGCAGGTGGCGGCGCGGGACGGGAGCGCAGCTGGGAGGCTGGCCTTGGTCTGGCTCCTTTGCCCTCTCCAGGCCGGCGGGGGGGCCGGGGGGGGGGGGGGAGAGACTCCTGCAACCACAAATGTTTTATAAATGAATTCAGCTCTCAAATTCCCGGAGGGGGCGGGGGACAGAGGGTGGCAGCGAGTCTTTCAGGGCGACAGGCACACGCAGGACGCAGGCGCCGTCCCACCTCCAGAGCTCGCACAGCCGACACCAGGGCCTGACCAGTCCAGTCCGCCAGGCGCCTTGTTTGAAGGCTCGCCGGGCCTTGTGCTCGGAGCGTTCCGAGTCTGGTCCATTATGAGACATCTCCTCTCCCCACGGGCACCTTCAAATCCAGATGTTGTCGCCGCAGAACAAAAGCCCCCTCCCAATGCTCTTCTAGAAGTAGAGCCTGGTCCTTTGGAGGAATAACATCTCTTGCTAAATGCAATGCTTCCCTGGGGCCAAGAACCCGCTGCTCTGAATTTGTTAAGAGTGGTTTAATAATCTGTCTCCACTCCGTTTCAGATGCCAGGGCGGCCACGACAGGTGGAATGTCGCTGGTTGACGGATTCAATGGATGGAGCACGGCTTCACTAAGAAGAGAATGCCCGCCTTTTTTTTTTTTTTTCTTCTTCATTCAAGACGTCCATTCCAATGACACACGTTATGATGAAACAGGGATTGTCACAGAGGATTCCTGGATGATACACTTCAGTTTTCCTGATTCGAATAACAACTTTTCCAGAAAGAAGGATGTATTCAACGACTGTAAAATAGTCCTAGTTTTGGTGACACTCGTTTTTTGAAGTATACTTTCAGGGCTGGAGATGTAGCTGAGGGGTAGTGCACTCACCTAACATGCATGAGGTCCTGGGTTCAATCCCCAACACTGCCATTTAGTGACAATAATATAAGGTAGGTCAAAATAGGGGAAATGCAGATGCTACACGGCTGAGTGTCATCTGTGTATAGATAGCCAACAAGCCTTTTAGACCCTACAGAGGGTCTAGGACTTGTTGCTAAAATCTGCCATTGGGGACGTGCCGCAGTCTGGCTGGGCACAAATGCCGCAGTCTGGCTGGGCACACAATCACGAGCCACCACACAGCTTGTAGATTCAAACAGCAACTCTTTATTCCCGAACTCACACCAGCCGTCTACAATCACGTTCTGGGGAAATCCACGTTCTCTTCCCAAATCCACGTTCTCTGCCCAAATCCACCTTCTCTCCCAAATTCCCCTCCACTGGGCTTCTATCTCCAAAATATACTGTCTGAATCCCGTGAGAACTCAAGGGGAACTCAGGCAGCAGGATACGCCCTATTCCCAGCAGGAATAATCTTAAACCTTAAACCTGGAACCTAAACTGGGAACGCCCTAAACAAGATTATCTTAAAACCGGGAACACCCTAATCTGCCTTGGTCCTTGAGCAAGGTTAAGTACATTCAATGTCACTGCAACATGGGGTACGCTGGCAAGGAAATTGTCATACTTACTTGGCTAATGGCTCCCAGCAGGGACGGGGAATTCTCCACCTCTGAGAGCAATCCTTTTCCTTTCCAGATAGTTCTGACAGCCAGAGCTGGCTCTCTGCTCCTTGCCTCCGTGAGTGACAGTGAAGCCCAGCTGTGTGCCATGTCCTCTCTTCAAGGTCAGGGTCCCCAGTTCCTCCACACAGTTCTTTCTCCTTCAAAAACTGGACTCTCTTCTCCCCTGCCTCTTCAAACATAGGTTGTGTTCAACCAGAAGTGAACACAGTGCTCCAGTGTCACCTCCCTGCACCCTGCACCCTGCCCATCTGTGGATGCAGCCAGAGAGCACAGCAGGGTGGGGCAGTGACCTAGGATTAGGTTGAACATTCGTACAAAACCTTTTTCACACAAAATCTTTACATTTGACATCGCATCCCTATTTACTTCAGAGGGATCGGTCTATCATTTCATCTGGTTTGGGTGCTTTGGGGACCTTCTTTGGTCATTTAAAACCCCTGTTCCCGCCGCCAAGTGTTGTGGCGCAGGCCTGCAACCCCGGTTACTGGGAAGGCTGAGAAAAGGAAATCCTAAGTTCAAGGCCAACACCGGCAACTTAGTGAGAGCCTGTCTCCAAATTAAAAATAGAAAGGGCTGCAGATGTAGCTCTGCGGTAGAGCACCCCTGGGTACCCAGTGCCAGGAGAAATAAACAAACAGAAAAACAGCCCCTGCTTTCAGTTTTGAGTCACATGAAAGTCAGATGATGGCACTTTCTGTGCCTGTGCCTAGCTGTTGACAGGAAGGTCGGATGGGGACTGTGCTCTGGCCAGCCACTGTGTCTGGGACCTTGGTTTCCCTGTCTGGTAGAACAAGAGTACAGAGAGGACCTCAGTGAACACATCTCTGTATTATGTGGGGGACACTAGGCCAACGCTCTTTGCAAACATTGTGACATTTGATTTTTCACACCGGTTCTTTGAGGGAGGTATTGCTATCCTCCTCCTCATTCTCAGGTAGGAAAACAAGACCTGGCAGGATTTGAACCCGATTCTGTCTGGCACATAACACGATGCTCTCAGTCACCCTGGCTCACTGCCCATCTTCAGAGAGCAGGACCTCGGGTGAAGCCTAGAACAGGGTCCCAGGACCCCAGTACAGGCCCTTCAAACTCCTCTCAAGCCCTCCAAGTCCCACACACAGCTCAGAAGCAGGGGAGAGCTGAAGGCTGGGTAGAACCTTCAGAAAGGGACACCAAGCCTGGCGTGCTGGCACAGGCTCATCATCCCAGCTATCTGGGAGGCTGAGGCAAGTTGGATTGAGCTTCACAATGACTGAAGACAGGATGTTTGGCAGCTCCGTGAAACTGGGGCACAGCGTCACAACCTCAGGCAGGTTGGGAAGAAAGTGAGGTTGTTGCACACCTGAGCTTGTAGTCTGGGAGTCAGAGCTGCCGCACCCC